CTTAAAATTTATTGATGAGCTTTATCATCTATTTCTGCAAACCTGCTCTGTACCCCACACATTCCCTCTCGGAGAGCAGTGAAATAAATGACTCATTCAGCTTCTCCAGTTAGAGAGCTCTCCATTATCTTTGATTTCCCTTCTTCCTCTCCTACCACATTCAATTAGTTGCCAACCTTGTCAACTTTCTTCTCCTAAACTTGGCAGCCCTCCCATTGTTCTGATTTGATTCATGTCATTATCATGTCCTGTCTAGACGATTCCTATGGCCTCTACGCTACTTTTCCCCTGACCTTTATCTTCTCTCATCTCTGGGGGGCAGTTTTAATACTGTCCTCCTGAAATCTCTCTCTCCCTAAATTGGCATAGCTGGCTCCAGCTTCAAATTCCCTGTTGACCCTTATTGTTTCAGGATGAGGTTTAAATTCTATGTAAAGGTTGCAGGATTTCTCTCTCACTGACTCTGATCTAACCGTTCATCTCAAACGTCTGCCAGTTTTCATCTACATAGACAGCAGTCAGGGCACACAGAACTCATCTCTGCTCCTCCAGCCCTGCCCATTCTTTTCTTAATTTTTTTTTTTCCATTGGTTCACCCCCCAAATGGTCGCTACGGCCAGTGCTGCGCCCATCTGAAGCCAGGAGCCAGGTACTTCTCCTGGTTTCTCATGCGGGTGCAGGGCCCAAGCACTTGGGCCATCCTCCACTGCACTCCCGGGCCACAGCAGAGAGCTGGCCTGGAAGAGGAGCAACCAGGACAGAATCCAGCGCCTCAACCGGGACTAGAACCCAGGGTGCTGGTGCCACAGGCAGAGGATTAGCCTAGTGAACCGCGGCGTCGGCCCATCCCTGCCCATTCTGTCATGCATCGGGTTTGCTACACACAGTATGCCCCCTCCCTGTGCTCTGGGGTGTTCTTTCTACTTATTTCCTGCTTATCTTTCAAGCCCCACCTCAAATGCCAACTCCTTTAAAACTCTCTGTAGCTCCTCCAGTCGCAATGAGCTGTTCTGTCTCTTGTAGCCTCCAACTCCTTGCCCTCAGATCTTTCACAGCAATGCTTTGCCACATGGGTTAATAATTTATCTGTATGTTCCCTTGATGATGAGATTCTAAAGGCACACACCGTGTCCGTCTCTGTGTTGTCCGCAGGGCCTAGCACACTGCTGAGCACCAGGTAATGTTGGCCACATTTGTCCAAACACCAGTCCTGCTGGTCCCAGTGGCCAGTTTTGAACTGCATAAAGGGAGAGATCGTGTTTCGTATCTTTGGGTCATCAGTGCCAGCATATACTAAGCGCCCTCTAAACATGCTGATCATGAAACCTCTCTGTGCCTTGGTTTTGTGGCCTTGGTGAGTTACAAATCACTGTTGCAAATCCAGGCTTCTGAGACCACTGATCCATGGTGAAGGCCATACTTCTTGTGTTCATTTTGTATCTACTGAAAATCGTGGTAGCGACCATGTACTAAGGGCCTGTGATGTGTCAAGTTCTGCATTAAAAATTACTTCACCCGACTATCATTTCTTTAAAGGCAGCTATGATTCAGCTGAGGTCTATCATCAGAAAAACCCTGGAATTTATTTAAAGTTACCTTGTGCACATCTGAAAGACTCAAATTATTGTTTAAGCCCCTCAGACATTACACCACTAATCCTTTTCTAATGATCTCATCTTAAGAAACAGCACTGGCAGGGGGACTGTTGGGCCCCCTTCCCCTCATAACGACATAATGAGCAGATTTGGGTATTTACATAATAACTCAGAATGATTTCAGGGCATTTTAGGCAAAATATACAACCATTTAGACTGCTGTCATTGCACTTATCTCATCACTCTTGGAAATTAAATGGAGATGGAAATGGAGAAAAGCAAAATTGTGGGAGTTTCTGGGTGTGCTGCACTTGGTTTAGCTCCTTAAATGCTCTAGGCTTGCAGCAAAGTGCCACAATTAGGAAATTCAGTTCATAGAAAATGCAAGCATTAAAGCTTTGAGCAACCTATCAGAAACTGAAGTGAGGTAGAAGCTGCTGGATCCCAACGATCCTTCTGAAAATGGTGATGTTCTCAGCACTGAGAGAACTCGTGCAGCTCCCCATTTCTGACTCACTGCTATTTTCTTCCTCTCTGTTTTATTTTCTCTTCACATGTTGGACATTATTGTTGCCATTTAGGACCTTAACATTTTTACGTGCACATGTATTATTTTCCTTGCTACTTACTTCTCCTAGGGAATCATTTCTGAGATCATTTTCTCCTTTCTGAAATTCAGCCTTTTTTTTTTTTTTAAATCTTTTATTTAATGAATATAAATTTCCAAAGTACGACTCATGTGTTACAATGGCTTCCCCCCCCATACCGTCCCTCCCACCCACAACCCTCCCCTTTCCCACTCCCTCTCCCCTTCCATTCACATCAAGATTCTTTTTCGATTATCTTAATATACAGAAGATCAGCTTAGTATACCTTAAGTAAGTATTTCAACAGTTTGCTCCCACACAGAAACATAAAGTGTGAAATTCAGCCTTTAGAAGCTGCTTACCCATGTTTGTTGGTAAGAGTCTTTAGGGTTTTCTTATTTACGAATATGTTCATTTACCCTCATATTTGAAAGAGAATGCTGCTGTGTGGATAGGCATGGCCTGCCTGTAGTTGCTGTCTGCGGGCCAGCTGTTGGGCTGATGTTCTCAGTAGAAGGCTGTCTTTGAGTCTGGGAGCTGCTTCTGTATCCCTGTGGATTCTGCAGTCTCACTGGGACGTGTCTGGGTGGGATTCCCTTGGGAGCACTGGTGTCCCCTGGGCTGTGTGACTCACAGGAGCACGGTCACGAGTCCGCTCTGGGAAGTCTCCAGCCTCATCGTGCACCCCCCTCTCCGTCCCCTCCGTTGTCTCCTTCCTGCTTCCTTTGGAGATAAGAACTTCCCCCTCCACCCCTCCTGCCTCATAATCTCTTTCCCATTTTCCATCTCTTTGCTGCCTGTTACACACTTTTGTTCGTTTCTTCAGGTTGATCTTGAAGTCACCAATTTTCTCTTCAGTTCTGACTGGTTACTTTACCTTTTGTTTCTCAAATTTCTCACCCCTCTTTTCATCAAAATCTGTCTGAGTACACATGACAATCTCTTATTTCTCTACCAACTTTTGGATACAATCTTTCTTGAGGCTTTGAAATATCAAGTGTACAATATATTATGGTTAACTATAAGCAGATCTCTAGAAGGTTTTCATCTTGCTGCCTTCCATTTTTTGAACATGTTAAACAAGCAAATATTTTGTATTCCCCTCCAATAATCCTGTTTTCTGTGTTCTTACTGGTCTGATTTTTGCCAGTTGTTGTCTCTATTGCTACTTTTTTTTTTTTTTTTTTTTTTTTTTTTGACAGGCAGAGTGGACAGTGAGAGAGAGAGACAGAGAGAAAGGTCTTCCTTTGCCGTTGGTTCACCCCCCAAATGGCTGCTACGGCCGGCACATGGCGCTGATCCGAAGGCAGGAGCCAGATGCTTCTCCTGGTCTCCCATGGGGTGCAGGGCCCAAGCACTTGGGCCATCCTCCACTGCACTCCTGGGCCACAGCAGAGAGCTGGCCTGGAAGAGGGGCAACCGGGACAGAATCCGGCGCCCCGACTGGGACTAGAACCTGGTGTGCTGGCGCCGCAAGGCGGGGGGCTCGCCAAATAAATCGTCAAGTGGGGGGATTTATAGCATCTACCATATTTAGCTTCTTTTCCTTCATGTTTTGGGATCTCTTTCTGTCTATCTGTCTCAACACCTATTATTTAGAACTCTTTAAAAACTTATTTGTGGCCAGTGCCGCGGCTCGCTAGGCTAATCCTCCGCCTGCAGCGCCTGCACCCCGGGTTCTAGTCCTGGTTGGGGCGCCGGATTCTGTCCCGGTTGCCTCTCTTCCATGCCAGCTCTCTGCTGTGGCCCAGAAGGGCAGTGGAGGATGGTCCAGGTGCTTGGACCCTGCACCCGCATGGGAGACCAGGAGAAGCACCTGGCTCCTGGCTTCGGATCAGCGCAATGCGCCGGCCATGGCAGCCATTTGGGGGGTGAACCAACGGAAAAGGAAGACCTTTCTCTCTGTGTCTCTCTCTCACTGTCTAACTCTGCCTGTCAAAACAAAACAAAACAAAACAAAACTCAAAACTTACTTGTTTGAGAGGCGGAAAGACAGAGGAGAGAAAGAAGGGGAGAAAGTATGACCTCCCATTTCTGGTTCACTCCCCAGATGCCCACAACTGTCAGGGCTGGGTCAGAGCCTGAGCCAGGATCCGGGATGCCAACACAAACCAGGATCCCTGCTTGGGTGACAGGAACCTACTTACTTGAATCATTACTGCTGCCTCTCAGGAATTCTGCATCAGCAGGATCAAGGAGCTGGAGCCCAGAATCAAGCCCAAGTACTGTGATGTGGAACTCAGTTATCTTATACTGACATCTTTTCTATGGCACTAAATATCCAGTTCAGTTACTTGGAACTTCACTGCAGGAATGCTCTGAGACCTGGGTGGAAGTTGTCTCTTCTTTAACTGAATTTTTGGTTTACATTTTTGCAGTAAATTCTAGACCCAAGCTCTTACCATCTGATAGTTATATATTCTCTGAGGCTATTTTTTTCCCTCCATCAAGAGCCAGGGTAAGACAAATTATCCTGCTCTCTCAATCAGATAGTTTTGATTTTTTTGAGTTTACTTATTGAGAGTGTTTCCCAATTGAGGGCTTTTTTGGAGGGGAAGGGAGGACAGGATTTGATCTGACTTCTCTCTAGCCCAGGCATAGTTTCCTGTCTTGCAGGCATTCAGCATGTTAGGAGTCCAGGATCTGGGTACTCAGAAGTCTGCAGGCAGCACAGGCCAATGGCTGCTCTAACTGCGGTTTACCTCCTTGAATTCAAGCCTTCTTATTGGTTCTAGCCTCTCAGAGCTGTCTTACTTTAGCTAGCTACACCATATATTTCAAAACATTTTAAATTTTTTAGTGTTTTAGTTATCTCTGATTAGCCCTATTTCCAGAAGCAAAAGTCTCAAGGATGAATCCTGCAACCTTTGATCAATACAGTAATTATCCTTCCTGCTTAAAAGCCAAGAAATACATTCACCAACATGATAAGTGATTTAAAAAAAAATCATCAGTGTCTATACTGGATTCCCAGGCCAGGATCTTGGTTATCATCTTCACTGATGGCAATAGTCTTTCTACTAGCTCACACACCAATGATCCTCCAAAGTCTAATGACAAACTCGCCTACTATTCTTTAAGAAAAGAGAATGAATTAGACAGGAAGCAGTGTTCACTTTGCAGAATCCAGCAACATACCTACGTCTGCACTCATCTTCACTGGCCCACTTTCTGTTCTGTCCTAGGTCTGCCCTTTGTTCCCATGCTTCGGTTCCTGGCCTTCTTCCTTGTGATCATTCATTTCATTTGGTGTCTCAGCAGTTCCCCCATTTCTATTGGCTTATTACTATTATCACTAGTGTATCCACTTAAAAATAATCCTTGGCTGTGGCCCCTATATCATCCTCCAGGTGCTACTCCGTTTGTCTCCTGCTCTTTATAGCAACTCATTGAAAGTGTTGTTTCAAGCATGATCTCACATCCTCTCACTAACCCACATGACTTGCTTCCCATCGGCTATGGTTTGACTATGAGTTGACCCCTGAACTCATGCAGACATTTAAACCCCAAAGTCATGAGTTAATGGTAATATGAAGGTAGAAACAATCCAATTATGATGTTTGGGAGGTGGATCTAATGAGAAATCTTTAGGTCATTGGGGTATGCAGTTGGAATGAAGTTCTCACAAGATGATTGTTATAAAAGCCTGGGTTTGATCCCAACCTCTCTCTAACTCCTAATTATCTATGTGACCTCTACACATGCCCTGCTGTAGCCATCTGGAGCCTTTACTAGATGCCCAACCAATGGAGCTGCCTGATCTTGGATTTGAACCTCCAAAACAATGAACTAGATAGACCTCTTTATAAAGTTAAGTTGCCTCTGGTACTTTGTCATAGTAATGAAAAGCTGACAAATACACCAGTGTCTTCCAGTTGCTCATGTAAGCATTACCTTTGTGTTGTTAGAGTTTATGATCAGGAACAAGTGTGTAGCCTTGTAGTTAAGATGCCTACATAACACATCAGAGTGCTTGAGTTCAATTCCTGGCTCTGACTCCCAACAACAACTTCCTAGTAATGCAGACCCTGGGAGGTAGCAGTGATGGTCAAGTAGTTGGGCCTCTATCACTCACTCAAGAGACCTGGATTGAGTTTCTGGCTCCTAGCCCTGGCCAGAGCCCTGAACCTACCATTGCTGGCATTTGAGGAGTAAGCCAGTAGATAGGAATGCCCTCTGATTCTCAGCTGAAAACCAACCAACCAACCAACGAAACAATTGAACGAAAACCCCTGATGATCACTAGTCTACTTTTGTTGTTGTTGTTCTACTTGACCTCCCACAGCATTTAGTACTACTAACCACTTTCTTTTCTCTTGAAATGCTTTTCTATTTGGACTTGTATGATACCACATTCTGCTGATTTTCTTCCTCCCACAAAGCCTTCTATGTTCTTAAGTACTTCAAGTTCTGGAGTGTCTGCAATCCTGTACTGGGCCCTGTATCTGTTCTTCATTTGCGTGGGCTGTCCCAGGGGATGGTGAAATCCCAAGGCTTTAAATACTAAGGATCAGCAATGGCTTTCGAATCTGTATCTTCAGCTCTAACCCGCACCAGAGCCTCCACTGTACATTCAGCACCTGAAATCGTGTCAGGCACATAGGATGGAAGAATGAGTGATGATTAAATAACCTTCAGACCCTCAAACAGATCATCTTGAGAACTCAAAGTATGTAACCCAAAGTGCTTCTTCTAATTTGGCCAAATGTTTGTGCATTTGGGAGTGCACCTGATACCTGCTAGCATCTTCAAAGATTTACTGTCAAAAACTCATGAATTCTTGGCATTCCTTAGAAGAAAAAAGCTCAGTGTAAGCTTATGTAAAACTTGACAACTGATGGGTCCAACCCACTGTTTCTTCTGTATCCAGTGTTTTATAACACAATGAAGCACTTAGAATTGGAGAGATTCATAGGCCTTGGGGCAATAGACAGTGGAGCACTGGGGATCAAATATTCAAAATCTCAGAAAGAGTTTTTTTCACAGAATGGAAAAGTGTGTGTTTCTGTGGTTATGTGTGTATGTATGTGAGCCTGTGCATGTACTTGTGTGTACCTGTACCTAGGTGTGTGCATGTGTGTGAGTGTGTCTCTGTGTGTAGGTATATAAGTGTGTATACATGCATGCTTCAGGGGACAGGTGCTGGCACAGAGTTGGGGCTGGGGAAGCACTGGTGCCACACCAGCAGGAAGGGCAGGGAAGGTCAACTTCCTTGTAGGATGAAACCTGCCCACTGTCATTTCTGCCAGGAAGGGCACAGATTGGCTCAGATACACAATCAGTCCCAGGAAATGCAAGGTAACTATTGATACCTCATGTGTGTTTTAGCCCAAGGCATTCTCAGGGAGAGTTCTGCAGAGGTTCCTACCAGGCCTCAGGCTAATTTGAATTCTGGCTAATAATGATCTGGAGGAAGGTGTTGCCATTCCACTAATGACTCTGAGTCACACCCACACTGAGGGCTTAAATCATGAGCATGGACTGAGAAAGAATGCACATTGTATGAACTTTATATCACCACTGTAACCCATTGCCAAAGTTTAGTGGTTTAAAACACTATGGATTTATGACCTCACCGTTCTGTAGGTCCGAAGTCTGACAAGGGTCTCACGTGGCTAAGTCAGGTGCTGGCTGGGCTGTGTTCCTTTGTGGGGGCTCCTGCAGAGAATCCCTTTCCAGCTCTTACAGATCTCTGTTGGCCCTTGCACTTGGCCTGCTACAGCTCACAACCAGCAAGCAGACATGAAGCCCTGCTTACCCTGCTGTGTCTTTCCAGTTCTCTGAAGCTGGGAAAGGATTTTCCCCTTTGAAGGACCATTGTCAAGACATTGGGTACACCTGTGTAAAACCTGGCCTTGTCCCCAAATCAAGGTCCTTGACCTCAGTTACACCTGCAAAGTCTCCTCTGCCATGTAAGGTGACATATTCGCAGGTTCTGGGGGTCAGGATGTGGATGTCTTTGCAGGGTGGCCACATTACTGTGCCAATGATTCATGTAGAGGTTACATACTCGGGCTCAGTACAACTCCATCCCTGGAGTGGAAATGAGTCCAAAAGGGAAAATGGCTGATCTGAGTTGCTTGATTCAGCAGGCCAGGCGCACGTAAGCCCTGGGGATATGCTGGGAGCCAAACAAGAGACACAGTTCAACTGTGAGCAGGAAGCCAACTGAATAGGTGCCCTCTTGGGCCTGGCCCAGGGAACCCATTTAGGAGAAAAGTCAGGGCCTTAGAAGTCCGTGGCTATTAACTCTAATGCTCACACTTAGTTGACAATCAAAAGTGAGACAAACATGTCTTAAGTAATAATTAGTTTTTTGGACAGGGTGTCTCTGAAGGAGACTTCTGGTAATGAATGCACCTGTTAATGGTAGGAGGAACTTAAAATATAATGTTAAGAGTCTAATGAGAAGCAATCAGCTAAAATAAAGTTGAGTTTCCATCAGAAATTTAAAAATGAAACTACTGAGACTGGGACTGTCTGGGAAGCAGAATTATGGCCCCCAGAGGTGGTCAAGTACTAGTGCCTAGAACCTGGGGGTACATCACTTTGTATTTTGGAAATATGTGCAATAGAATATTATGCCATATACATGGCAAATGGGACTTTGTCAGTGTGATCCAGTCTGGGACTTTGAGATGCTGAGAGTGTCCTGGCTGATCTTTGTAAAAGGAAGAGGGAAACAGAAGAGATGAGAATCAGAGAGATGGCCGTGTCAGAAAGACTTGGTTTGAATATAGAGGAAGGGACGAGAGGAAAGAACCAGAACTGGGGAAGGCCAGGGGCTCTGGAAGTTGGGGAGGGCAAGAAACAGGTTCTTCCCTGGCATCTTGAGAACGAACGCAGCCCTGCCCTCACCTGGATTTTCACCCTAGGACGCCTATTTTGGACTGTGACCTATGGACTGCACAGTATCTGTATTGCTTGGAGAAACCAGATGTGTGGTCATCGGTTACAGTAACAATAGAAACTGATAAGAGAAAAGGTGGGACTTTATGGGTCTGCTTCCTGCCATGTGGCCCCAGGTTGAATGGAGACCTTCAAAGTCTGACTGAACTAGTGAATGAATAGGTAAATAAATGCAAAAACTATGGGGCCCACCCCCAGGACACTTAAAATGGTGCCACTAAATATAAATGATGCCATTTAACTCGATTTTTCTCTTTTATGAACTTCTTTGATTAGGGCATAGAATGCCTTCAGAACACACACACACACACACACACACACTGTCTCTCGGTAGTACACCCACAGACACACACATGCACACAACAGCCTTGGACTTCTAAAGGACAGGGGCAACTCCATCCCCATCCCCGCAGCACACACACACCCCTCTGGTGTTCTTAAATGAAGCCTGGGTGGGAGAAAAGGAAATGCTCTCTGGTTTGGGGTCCAGCACTGGTGGGAAGGATGACCCCTAGCAACTCCAGTGTTACAACCGGGCTGTGAAATGTTCTGAATCATCTGACCTTGGACTCCTGGTTCAGGCTAATTAAGCCTCTTCCACTGCACAGTGTCCTGGTTTGCAACTGTGGTTGTGCAACCATTTAAATTGTGCACCTTTGCTCCAGGGAGCTGATTTGCTGTTTCTCTTTTGTTTCCTTGGAAGGACTCAGGCACAAGTGGGCTGTCTCCTTTTAGAACAGTGAGAAAGTAATGGACTTGGTGCTCTCATGGGGTGTCTGGACTTGTGGCTGTGGAAGGAACTGTTTTTGGAGGTGAGGTGTGAGCTAACGCTAGTCAGTGCTACCACCCAGAGAATCTCCTCTATACCTCAAGTTTTCTTTCCTGTCTTGGGAGTGTTTGCCTACACATTCACTGGCGTGGATGTAGGAGAGAAGCCTGCTGAGAGCTGTGTCTGAAAAGGGACAATGTGGGTACAAGTCACTGGGAGAAAATCTGTGACAGATATTGTGCTCCTAGCATGAGTGTGGGAGGAAGAGGGCTGGCTGTGTTTTAAACCTTATTCTATTAGACGTTTCTTAATCATGGAGCTGCTTGAATTACAGGCCTCCCTGGATGTGATGATGTTACCTTTAAATCACGAATGGATCATCTTTAGGGGTGAAAAATCAAGAATGCTCAGAATTTGAGTATGTGTCTATCTCACTGTTTGGTCTCACATTTTTACAACCTCTGTTTTTGCAATGGTATCAGGAATTTACTCAATTTTAGAGTGCTTGTCCCATTATCTATCTAAGGGGGTGGACATCTCAGAAAAGAGGGCTATGCTTTCATTTTGAACAGGTTGCTTAGCTCCTACGCCTCAGTTTCTTCTCTGTAATGCGGTGCCAAGGGCAGGAGTTTGGCCTAGTGGTTAAGATCCTGCATCCTGTATAAGAGTACTTGGGTCCAGTTCTTGAATTCTAGCTTCCTGATGATATACACCATTGGAGGCAACAGGTGATGGCTCAAATGACTGGATTCCTGCCATCCATGTGGAAAACCTAGGTTGTGTTCCTGGTTCCCAGTGTTTGCTTAGTCCAGTCATGGCTGTTGCAGCCATTTAAAGAGTGAACCACTGGATGGAAAAGTCTGTCTGTCCCTCTGCCTCTCAAGTAACAACAACATCAACCACATGATGATAATAATACCAGGCAAAAACAATTTGGGGGAGTTAAATGAATAGTATGTAAAGTACTCAGTATCACGCCCTGAGGCAGGGAAGCTTACCTCTTGCTCAGTTGTAATTAATTTCTCCAACCTGCTCTTTCCTGCCTTGGGTTAATCCTGCTGATTCCTTCTGGATCTTGGTAGCACATGGCATGCCAGTTAGGGTGAAATACCATTTCTCTTTATTTCCTCCTGACAGGGGTGGATTTTCCCAACTTAGTTTTGGCTGTAGTAGGCACTCGGTAAATGCTAGTTGAAATAAAATGTCATTTCTTATATGAATGGAGATTCTTCTCACAGTTTATTGGTACTGCAAGTCACACAAAGGCGGGGTCCACCCCTGCCCTGCTCACTGGGGTATTCCCAGGGCAGTGTTTGATAGATGCTGTAGGTGCTTTTCCATCATTAACATCAAGTCTCCCGCGTCATCTCCAACTACTTTCTCCCATTCTAGATGTGTAATTTAGCCCTGTAGATTGTGCCTCTAAATGTTCTCCAGCTCTTCTCCTTTACACACTAACTGCTGCTTTAATTCAGAGTTGGTTATTGTCTATCTGTAGTGATATCAAACCATTTTGCCTGGCCTCCCTGCTTCCATTATTATCCTTTCCATTCTCTAGCCTACTTTTCAAAAATATTCCCTGTTCCCATCACATCCTACATAGATGCACAAGCATGTACAGACACAAACACACATATACATTCCTTAGCCTAGAAATAAAGTCTTTCATAATGTTTTCTGAATCTAACTCTTAAGACATGATCCCCTGCCATTTCCTGTAGTTAAATGTATCCCTTACAATTCTATTAACATTCCATGTCTTTCTATCCTTGTGAACTTCCTTGTGTCATTCCCTTTTCCTGAATACTGTTACTCAGTGCTCAGTTTTAATGCCAACTTCTCTTGCCCAGAGGCAGAGGGATTGAAATGTTAAGAGTTGAAAGGGTCTGTCAAACCTTCCACTTCTGCCTCCTCATTGTATATGTGGGGAAACTGAAGCCTAGGAAGATTAATAGTAAAGCCCAAACTAAACTAAAGATCTCATGGCTTTTCATTCACTACTCTGTCCATGTGGCAACTCCCTTCATTCACTTCCAATAGCTCTTCTTAAGATCCTTTTTACATTCCATTTTACTTTATGATTTCTTTTAATTGTCTGGATTTATAGCTCAGTGGGCAAGGACTATGCTTTAACCATCTTTGTATATCCATAGCACTCAGCAAAGGCTGACACGTAGTAGGTACTTTTGTGTGCACTAAGCACAAGGAATGGGGTTGATGGATGGATGGATGGATGAATGAATGGATGGGTGGACAGGTGGATGAATGAGTGGATGGTTGAGTAGATGAGTGCTTGGAAAGATGACTGGAAGGATGTGTGAATGAATCATCGGATAATTATTAATGTAGCAGTTCTCTAGGAAAGGTTCAGGTGTGCTAATACTCCCATAGCAGACCACGTCTGCAAATATATGTGCCTTACAGCAGAGCTAAACTCACAGCTGTTGGTGTAGCTTGCTCATTTTTGATGTGATGAGGAAAGGATGATGGCAGGGGGTTGAATGAGTACTATACCCCTCCAGGTGTGTATAATAATAATAACATAGTTGTTTATCTGCTCTAGAGTCTATGTATTCTATCTATATTTCATATTTAATCCTCACAGCAACTTTATGAAGCAAGTGTTCCTATTATTCTGTAGCCAGTTAATGATGTTTTATTTAAAGAAATTGCAGAGTTCAGACTTGAACCCAGGTTGTACAGACTGAGAATCCCAAGGTGGTACCTACTACATGAAGCTAGGAAATATAAGGGTGGCAGTTGGCTGAAAGGCCTCAGAAATCTGAGCTGCTGTGTCTGAACCCAGTCAGGCCACTCATTTCCTGAGTGGGCAAATTTGTTAATTTGACTTCTCAGTTTACTTTATGGTTTAATGGAAGTAACAGAATCTTCTTCATAGGAGTGCTGTGAAAATTAATGACTGTATATAAAGTGCTTCAAGATAAAGATTCTCAGATCAAAGGAGCTGGAGGGAAGGAGTTCTGAGTACCATTAGGAATGCAGGAGGGCCTGCAGCTCATTCTGTTTCCACGGGCTGGTTTGTGAGTGGGCAATGTGGTTGCAGAAAACTCAGCTTCAGATCAGTTTCCATTGAAGAGTTCTGGCAAGTAGAATCTGGTAAATAATTTCTACTTCCAATTTTCACATGTTTACGGAGCATTATTTTGGCACTATATTATTTTAAAGGAGAAGTGCTATGAATTAATAATGGTGGTAATTAAATACCGCTGGGGAACCAGGGGGAAAAGTACACCGCTGCCTTGACCTCTGAATCAGCCTCACTTCTCCACTGAATAACTTAGTGTGGTGAATTCTTTTCCTCAATCATTTTGCACTTGGCCACAGACATGGCAGAGAATGGAAAAAGAGCTCTGTCAGTCACCATGGCACCTAATCTTCCCTTGCCTCCAGATGGGAGTGTCTTGGCATGGTTTATATAAATAGGATTCCTGTTCTTGCATTTGCTCACGCTTCATCAGGACCACCACACAAACGTCCCTGGGCCTCTGCTATGCCAAGCAGATGCTCCTGTAGGTTGACATATACTTTCTCATCTGTTCATTCATGTATCAAAGGCTTATAGAGTATTAGCTGTGTGCTAGGCACCATTCTAAAACTAGGGATACAACAGGTGGGATTCCTACCTCGTGAAGAGACAGGTGAATAATTAAACTGTTCCAGAGGGTGACAAGAGTGACGAGGAAAGAACAGTTAGGAAACATGGGAAAACAGCATGTCCACCAGGTAAAGTCAATGAAATCATCCAAGGATGTGATTTTTTTTTTAAAAGATTTATTTATTTATTTGAGAGGCAGATTTACAGACAGAAAAAGGGAGATACAGAGAGTGAGGACAAGGATGTGATTTTAAGCTGGGTCTGAAAGATAAGTATGAGTAAACAGGGTTTGCAGTGGCCAGTTCTTGTGATAAGTGTGTGGGATCTGGAGACAAATGAGATTAAGATACAGCTCTGATTGGGCCACTCTGGTCAGGGAGTTGGACAGACACTGCAGCAGCAACAGGACGGAGCAAGAGGTGCTGTCAAAGAGGTGCGAATGAAGAGGAGCTCCACCTGGGACGTCTCCAAGGGAGCTGACTGAGAGTCTGACCCAGATGGCAAGGTGGGGAAGGGCACATCTTCAGTGAAGGCCCAGCTTGCAGATACAACCCTTTGGGAAATGACAAATTGCTTTTCAAATCTTGAGTGTAGGGACACTTAGGGGAGTAATGGGAGTCAGATCAGGAAGGGCCTTGTGCATTATGCTAAGGAATTTGACTGTGATGAGGAATGGAATTGAGGAAGAAACCGACAAGATAGGAAACAGCTGTGTGAAGAACCAGGCAAGACAGTTCCAGGTAGGCCAAACAGCAAGTACAAAACCTCTGTCGGGGAAGGCAGCTTTGCTTCTACTAGAACCATTCACAATAAATGGCCCCAGTCCTTGTGCCCCTGCACTGGTGGGAGACCCAGGGAAGCTCCTGGCTCCTGGCTTCTGATGGGCGCAGCTCTGACCATTGCAGCCAACTGGGGAGTGAACCAGTGGATGGAAGACCTTTCTCTCTCTCTCTGCTCTCCTCTCTCTGTGTAACTCTGACTTTCAAATAAATAAATAAATCTTAAAAAAAAAAAAAAACAAACCAAGGAACCATCACATATCCAGTGCAACTGGTCTGTGTGTGCAGGGGGCAGGGCAATGTGGGATGCTCGGAGAGTATGGTGTGTCCTGGATGGTCTGTGTTGCAAGGGCATCCATGGAAGGGTGTTTGGATTCTCTTTTAAGTACAAAAGGAAGCCCTCAAAGGTGCTGAGTAGAGAATAGACTTGTTTAGAAACTCAGGCTAGCTACTGTGTGGAGAGCACGCAGGAAGAGAGGATTAGGGGTGTGGGAAGCCACGGAGGAGTCTCTTTTTGTCTAAATGAGAGATACCAGTAGTTGTAATCATAACAGTGATTGTAGAAACAGATAAATTAATTAATTGAATGTAAATTTTATGGGTGGGGGAGTGTGGGTATTCTCAAAAGGATTGTCAATAGATTAGATATGGGGACTGAAGAAAAGGGAGGCATAAGGGGTGACCCCAGATTTATTTTTGGATCATTGGTGTGGATGGTGGTGCCAGTTAGTCAGTTGGGGAACTCTGTGGAAGGGCAGATTTTAGGAGGCAAATCAGAACTTGTTTGAATATGTGAAGCTTGACACGCAAATGGAATATACAAATGGATGTGTGTAGAAGATAGAGCAGGGTGAAGATGTTAATTTGGTAGTCACAAGAAAAATTCAAATCCATGAGGGTGGATTGAGTTGCCTAGAGAGAGGGGAGAGGGAGGAGGAGAGGAGCGAGAACAGGAGGCTGCAGAGGCAGTCAGTAAGGTGGCAGGAAAGTTGGAAGAAGGCGGCTTCCCAGAATCTGCCCGAGGAGAAGGCTTAAGGAAGGAGGCCTGGTCCACTGTATAGGAAGACGCTCTCTGTAGAAATGGAATTTGCTTAAATGATGGCCTCCCAGTTCTTACTGGACTTGGACAGGGAGTGGAGGGGTGGACGTAAAGAGATCTGGGGACAGGTGGAAGTGCAGCTCACAGCTGTGGGAAACGGGAGAAGGAAGGGGTTAGGGATCTGGGTGCCTGAAGGGCTCAACTGAGAGGGGAGACAGGAGTTTGTAACAAGTCCTACCTTTGCCCCCTCACATTGGTGTGGGTTTTCTATGGATAGAAAGGCAGCAAGAAGCGAAATAATGAGAATGAGGTTTTTTTTTTTTTTTTCTTTCCAGGAAGGAAGGAACATGAAGTGAAGGAGGAGAAAGATTAGAGGATTGGGCAAGAACATGATGAAAGAGTGTCTCCAGGATGTGTGAGGAAGTAAAGGCGAAAGGGGTGCAAGAGACGGGGAAACATGGGGTGGCTTCCAGTTATTTGACATGGATCCGGAGACATGGGTGGGTAGACAGGCAGAGAGGCAGCGGTGGGGCCAATCTCATGATGGAAACAAGAAGAATGGATGGGAGTGTCAGAGATGGCAGATGAGAGGCCTCAAGGACTTGAATTTGGGGCAGAGAATGGCAGCAACAAGAGGTGCAGTGATGGGAGTTGTTAGCCCCCAGTGGGTGTCTCATGAGGATGCTTATGACTGATGTGTAGATTGCTGCCTCCTGTGAGGCCCTTCCTCAGTTTATTCCTCGAGTCCTCCATCTCCTGGCAGCAGCCCCTGTTGTTCTTGATCTCAGCGGGCTGATGAGATCAAGGGACAACCAAAGCACTTCGAATCCTGACTCTACCACCCATGCACAAGGTTTCTTGGGGTATGGTCTCAAGCTTTTCTTCCTCCATTATTTTATCTTTTTTTTTTTTAAGATTCATTTATCTGAAAGTCAGAGTTACACAGAGAGAGAAGGAGAGGCAGAGAGAGAAAGAGAGAGAGAGAGAGAGAGAGGTCTTCCATCCACTGGTTCACTCACCAGTTGGCCGCAACAGCCAGAGCTGGGCCAATCCAAAGCCAGGAGCCAGGAGCTTCTTTTGGGTCTCCCACGTGGGTGCAGGGGACCAAGCACTTGGGCCATCTTCTATTGCTTTCCTGGGCCACAGCAGAGAGCTGGATCAGAAGTGGAGCAGCTGGGTCTCGAACCGGTGCCCTTATGGGATGCCAGCACTGCAGCCAGAAGCTTTACCTGCTATGCCACAGCGCCAGCCCCTATTTTATCTATTAACTGGAGACAATAATACCAGCTTGCTATCCTTCAGAGGGTTACTAAAGATGAATCAAAATAAAGCACATGAAAACACACTGAAGAAGGTTAAAGCCATGTTGAAAGGGTCAGTCCACATTAAAGTTGTACACATTCCGACGAATCCCAGAAGGTGGAGACTTGGTGCTCCTTTTGTCTTCATACCTGCCTTCTGTCTTATTATTCACAGATGTTTGCAATGGGCTATATTTAAAATAAACACCTGAACAGGGTAAAATGGGCAAGTATTTTGGTCCTGTTTTTTGTTATATATCAGTCATTCTCTTCATTCAATCACTTATGCAACAAATATTTACTGCTTTTTAAGTTTATTTATTTTCATTTTACTTGAAAGGCAGAAAGCAAAACTAAGAGAGATCTCCATATGCTAGTTCAGTCTCCAAATACCCACACTGGGGGGCTGGGCCAGGCTGAAGCCAGGAGCCCAGAATTCCACCTAAATATCTCATACAGGTGGCAGGGACCCAAGTACCTGGGCCATCATTTGCTGTCTTTCAGGGCATGCATTAACAGGAAGCTGAATTAGAAGTAGAGGACCCAGAACTTGAACCAGGCACTCAAATATGGGATGTGGACCTCCCAAACAACAACCACTGTGCCAAATGCCCATGCCAGATTTTTATTGATTTCTAACTGCATCCAGACACTGCACTAGTGACAAAATAATCCATAGTCCTTTCTCTTATGCACCTAAGTCTAGTGGGTGTCAGACACTGAGACAATTATAACACAGGTCTTGGAGGGAGATAGAGACCCAGATGAAAGGGGCACCTGAACCAAAATTATGCCACTTGCTAAAGGAGCCACCTCGTGGAGGAAGCAGAGGGGTAGACTCTACAGTCAGTGTTCATTACACAAATATCTATTCCAGGAAGTGTGGGTGCATGAAACCCACACCTCATTTATGAGGCCGTTTAAATCTTCCTTCTCAAATCTTTATTCAGAGTTAGTTCCTGGAAGCTCAAAAGAATTCTCCTTCTCCTAGACCTTTATTGAAGGAGATGATGACAAGTTCAAAAAGTTGCTTATAGGAAGGAGACGAGGAAAGCCTGAGTCACTCTCTAGTTGGTAAGTGAGAACTAATCCTTGCAGAATCGGCACTGACAAAATCACCTTTTTTTTGACAGGTAGAGTTAGACAATGAGAGAGAGAGAGAGAGAGAAAGGTCTTCCTTCCGTTGGTTCACCCCCCAAATGGCCACTATGGCCGGTGTGCTGTGGCCAGCGCGTTGCGCCGATCCAAAGCCAGGAGCCACGTGCTTCCTCCTGGTCTCCCATGTGGGTGCAGGGCCCAAGCACTTGGGCCATCCTCCACTGCACTCCCGGGCCACAGTAGCGAGCTGGACTGGAAGAGAAGCAACCAGGACAGAATCCAGCGCCCCAACTGGGACTAGAATCTGGTGTGCCGGTGCCGCAGGCGGAGGATTAGCCTAGAGAGCCGTGGCGCTGGCCAAAATCACCTTGTTACTGATCAGTTCCCATTCTAGTCCCAACCTGGCACTCTGGATTCAGCAGAATCCTTCAAGATGACTACTTGTTTCATGCTACCTTCTTGCTCAAAGGAAACTGGAAGATCTTGGATCTTCTACCAGGAACCCTCTCTGTAGGGTGGATATTGGGTGAGTTCTTGGGTCCTCCTAAAAAAGGTAGCTGAGAGCAGTGCTGTGGCCTCTGCTGTTGGCACAGAACTGCCTTGGGCCCTTGGCTTCCTCGCTCTTAGCTGGACTGTTTGGAAGACAGAGCAAAGGGCTATTTGTGCCCCGAGTGAGCATTCAGGCTTTTTGTGACTAGGTCCACGTGGCACAGTTGGCACACTCCCAGTCCAAGGTGCCTGTTGTCCAGATGTTTCTCTGGACATCTCTCAGAGCTGGGTGGGCACATGGTGCTGACACAAAAACATATGTTGTCAGTCTCTTGTCACGCGTTCTGCGTTGCCAGTGGCTCTCCACTGCATTGCTGTGGGCCAAAACAATTTAGGGAAAAACTCAGCTGAGAACTTAATGAGAGCCTAGGAAATTGACATGGTGCATTTTCCAAGTCTCCAATCACTGTTGCTGTGGTGATTCCTCTGCACGGAGCATGAGGCCTCAGTCACTTTAATGATGTATTTTACACGCCTGTGCCCCTGGCTGGCAGGTATAAATCCCCCTTGTTTTAATGGAAACATAGCCTGTAATGCAGCTATTAACTGGTAGGTTCTTATTTTAACCTCCTGTGCTCTTCAGAAAAGATAAAAAGAATTTCCCCCGAGGGTATATGATTTTAAGCTTGAGTACATTCAAGTGATGTGAACTCATCCTTTTCCGGCAGGCTTTATCCTTCACTGAGGGCCTGGGACAGAGACTGCCGCGTAGTAGGGGCACAGGAAATGCCTCTGTGGGTGGCCCCTCCTTTTCCACACATGACTGGCCAGGAAGCCAGGCCCCTGGACTCTCTGGGAGGGGTTGTTGGTTTAACAGAGCTGACAGAGTTTGAGAAAGGAAGTGCTCTGTTCCCTTGCACTGGAAGAGAAGCCCATCGCGTGACTCTCTCCACGCAGGTGTCATCTGCTGAGACCCAGGGTGACACTCTTTGTCTTGCAGGTGTGAGATTTGCTGCTTTCTTTTACTTGCAGAAGTCGGAAAGGAAACTCTGCCTTTCTGTTTCAGAGGCTGCCTGCGTCCGTGGACCTGTGCTTGCTGCATGCAGTCCAAACCAGGGGCGGTTTGCCCCACCCAGTGGGTCTCAGTCTTCAGTGGATGTTGGAATCACCTGAGGTTTGTGTTAAGCTTTAATGTCCATCAGCTTCCTCCATTGCTCTGATTTGGAGTACCTGAGTCAGGGTCCCAGGAGTCAAGAAATATTGTACCCAAGCTTCATAGTAGAAGGTGACTTTCTGCAGGTTCCTAAGACTAAGATTCAGAATAAAAGGGGTCTTGTGTTGGCTGCATGAGCAGAAATCTGCGTACCAAACATGCTAAGCTATGTTCATTTCTTCCATAGTCCCTAGATGGGGCTGGTATTATGGCATAGCGGGTAAAGCCGCCCCCTGCAATGTGGGCATCCCTTATGGGTGCTGGTTCGAGTCCCACTTTCAATCCGGCTCCACTTTCAATCCAGCTCCTGCTAATGTGCCTGAGAAAGCAGCAGAGAATGACCAAGTACTTGGCGTTTGCACCCACATGGGAAACCCAGAAGAAGCTCCTGGCTCTTGGCTTCACCCTGGCCCAGACCCAGTGTTTGCAGCCATTTGTGAGGTGAACCAGCAGATGGAGGATCTCTCCCTGTCTCTCCTTCTCTTTTCTGTAGCTTCCTTTCAAATAAATGAATAAATCTTTTAAAAAATACTCCCTAGATGCTGATCCCCATGCTATGCTAAGAATTCAGAAACAAGAAATAGCACTTGCCCCATGGTAGTCATGTGCCAGTGTGTAGGCAATCGAAAACAAATCACCTAATACATGGAGATAGATGGTGAAATAATGTCACATGAACCCAGCCTGAGACAGTTAATCAAGTCATGGTATAAACGTATTGCCTGACATATTGAGCACATACTATGGCCTGGGTTTTGTCTTATGTTAATATAATTTATCTCAGGAATCCAGTAGTGTATGTGTGGCCGGAGGTCTTCCTTGTGTTTTGTTTTTTAAAAAAAAAAAATTGCATATTTATTTGTAAGGCAAAGTGACTGGGGTCAGGAGGAGACAGAGAGAGAGACAGGGACAGAGAGGGAGAGAGATTGATCTTCCATCCACTGGGTCACTCCTCAAATGTCTGCAATAGCCAGGTACGGGCCAGGCCAAAGCCAAGAGCCAGGAACTCCATCTGGGTCTCCCATGTAGATGTCAGGAGCCCAAATACTTGGGCCATCTTCTGCTGTCTTACCAAGTGCATTAGCAGGAAGCTTGATCAGAAGTGGAGTATCCAGGACTCAAACCAATGGTCATATGGGATGCCAGTGTGGGCTTAAACCACTGTGCCACAATGCTGGCCCCACAGCTTCCTTGCTATAGTAATTTACTCAAGGCTGCCTGGCTGATAAATAGCACAGCTGAAATGTCATTGCCAAAGGTCATGTTCTTAATAGCCTTATTATGATGTCTTCTCAAAGAGAAGGAGTGGCTTACTTATTGAACCTCTGTGTGGGGGGCTCACTTATTTAAATATCCTGGCATTTCTGATGTGGTCAGAACTCTAAGGAGAAACATTGCACAGCCTTGTAGGTCAGGCACACCTGAATGGATAGCACTATTGCATCTCCCAATCCAAACCTAAAAGGAGAACAGGTGTGCTGGGATATGGATTTCTTCAGCCTCCACCCTGGCCGTGCAGGGTTCATCCCCTTTATCAAAAGCTACCTACTCAGTCTATGCAGTGTGCTTACATAGACCATAGAATGATTGCCTTGCTCACTAATGCCTGGGCTTCCATGGCCAACTGATGTTGTGCAGATGTCTGCTGTTTCAGCCTGAAGGTCTGAGTAGGAATAGGCTTTTGCATTTTCATCCCCAGGCCACTCTTGAACATGACCAAGGTCTTCCAATCAGTTCTTAGAATCGAATAACATAGCTTGGTAGGTTGGTGTTTAGAAAGCTGGAGCAGGAGTTAGAGCTCTCCAGCTCCACACAGGCCATTTGCACACATTTTATCTGTTGGAGTTTCAGTTGAAGACACCCTTCTTCACTTCCTCTCCTGAAAATGGTCACGTCCTGTGTCCCAAGAACAGTGACTGCTCCAACATGAGCCATGCATCATGTTGGTCCCTGCTGCCTTGACTTGAAGTGTAAGGTCCTTAACTAGGGTGCAGCTTTTATTTGCTCTTTTATAAGTTGCCATTTGGGATCGATCATATGCGTGTGCGTGTGTGTGTGTGTGTGTGTGCCTTCCTTTTCTTTTACTACGTTCATCAAAAACAGGAAGTCAGAGATATGAATACTCTTCCTGTGAATCAACAGAGAAATCTTGCTCATCTGAACCCATGAATATGCAGCCCAGAGCCAGTTACTTGAAATACACTCGAGCTACTGTAAGAAAGGAAGGTTGCAAGCTGGACCCTGAGGTGTTCGACAGACTGGTCTAGGAGAGGGAGCCAGTCCTGTTGTTGTCACAGAACTAAGCCTAGAGAGGTGCATGTGCCGGAGTGACAGGCATGGAATCCTGGGCAGGGACCAGCAGTTTCAGTCCAGCAGTGTTAGATGTAGGTGACAGGTGAGTGCTGACTGACAGATGATGGGCTGTGCACTTTAGTGGCAGTGTATGGTGTGATAACCCTGGACCTTGCAGGGAGTTGGTGAGAAGGGTGCCTGGGAGGTCATTAAGGTAGGGGACAGGCACATTTCAACACCTTGTGCTGAATCAAAAGGACACACTATTGTCTTGGGTTTCATTTGGCCTCACTGATTCATTCAAATACTGAGTCACAAGTTACTAATTTGCGATTAGCGATGTGTATTTCAATATTAGCCAGTGAGTCACAAGTATCAAGGAACCGGGACTGATACGGTTTCAAATAATTCTGTGATGTCACCAAAGTTGAAAGACAGTCCCTTCTTGGTTGGTAAGGTGGCTGCTGGCCAGAGAAGAGCCATTCTACAGTCTGTCAAAACAGGCAGGTGTGCCTTCAATAGTGTCCACCTGCTTTCTTCTTCCCAGGGAACAGGTAGGATGGAGTGAGGTCACATGCAGAGGATGTTTGGAGATCTGGAAACAAAAGATCTTCTATACATACAAGCTGATCTGTCATTGTCCTTTGTCCAAAATAAATAGCCTTTTTGACCACTGTTCATGGATGCTTAGAAAACATGATAGTCTCTGTGTCCACACCTGCCTAGTCACACTTATGCCCAACAGCTTCCACCTGGAACTCATGCACCTAGCAGACCGGGAGCTTCCCCTAGGCATCTCTCTTTATTGGATTTACACAGTGCACTTGCTGTCTCTAAAGCCATAGAATAGGTACCAGGGCCCCTCAGAATCATTAAGTCTTGTGCTCTGAGCCAGCTATCTGGCTGCCGATATCTCTCTTCCCTGCTGATGTCATTGGTGGCCCTTGGCTCTGTTCATCTCTGCAGGTTTTCATCAAGATTGTATTGGAGTACCTATCACATGTCTTGCCCAGTGGGATGAATTGAGAACACAGGGAGGAAAATGTGTGATTCGTGTCCTTGTGCTGCTTCAAGTCCAGTGGGAGATCAAATCAATCTGTGCAGCAGGTACAAGTGACCAAGTGGTGAGCCTGATTAGAGATGCTATCTTGTATCCCAGGGGATACCTCTGTGAGTAGCTTGGTTCATTTGCTGCCAGATCTACCGGTTGTGTGCAGTCTGATTTCTTTTCTACAACTTTTAGTCGTTTATCCAAAATCCTCCCTCTGGAGCCCCACAGAGAGAACTGACTCCCTCTTCTGGGATGATGGCACTTTGGACATGTGAAAATGGCCATTTCCTCTCCCACTGCCTTCTCATCCAAGGCTAATCGTCGTAGTGTTGTAACGCGTTACACCCATGCTGCTGGGTCCAGACTGACCCTGTTTTAATTGCTCACTTCTGTACATATTCCAGTTTCTCAATGTTTTTCTTGAAGTAGGAAAAGCCAGTACCCAGAACAATATTCTGTGTTTAGCTGGAGAGAAAAGTCAGAAAAACTGATAAGTGAGAAATAACAAAAATAATAAATTTAAAAGGATACTAATAGTATGTGTATAAAACATATGAGTAGAGACACAATTATGTATTTACAAAATATGAAGTAGCTTAAAGACTTTTCAGTATAGCCTAATTGATTTTCACTTTCTTAGATCATAAAATATTGGTGCTAAACTAATTAAGAGAGCTTGATGACAATGTCCAACCTACTTCTCTGGGCAGATACTATGGCTGTGAGTCCCTCAAGTAGTCTTGCCTGCTGTTTGACCTTCCCCCTGCCTCACTCCCCTGGGTGCTATATCATCCACAGTGTGTGCATTTTTCTAAGGTACTTCCTAATCCAGTCCTATAGGTGAGTTTCTATCCATGAGAGAGTCATAGCCAAGCCCTGCTCTGAGGCAGATGCCCCTTGAGAAGGCCGGCGCAGGCTGTGCATTGGGCAACTTCAGGAGTGGCCATTCTGATCTCAGTGTCTGTGACTAATGCACAACCCGAGACATGCACTGTCTCCCTGCTCTGAGGAGGGCACAGCTTAGGCAGCCGCACATGCTGCCTGGATGCAGATTACCTGTGATGTCTGCCTTTAAAGCACAACTCAAGAATTCTTTTTCTAATCCATCTTGGAGACACTGTCAGTGTTTCAGAACTTACTCTTAGCTACAATATTTTGACACTTGGCAACTATGAATTTCCCAGACAGAATACCTTGTATCCAGGGTCATGGATGCAAGGCAAGCTCCCCGATAATATGTACCAACGTGAGATTTGGAAAGGGTGTGGCTGCTGCTGCTGACAATCGAGATATTAAAGCAAAGCTTTATTGTCTAGGGAGCAGCTTCATGTGAATACAGAAGCAACTAAGCAGCACGCTGTGGGCTTCCAGATCTCACACCCTGGGCTTGTGTTCTGGAACCCCACTGTTCTTGTGGCCCTCTCACCCTCTGATTGGGGTACAAGGAGCAGCTCTTTCACAGGCCAGTGTAGTGGCCTGGTATAGGAAGTCATTCCTGGAGATCCTACCTTACACCTAACCTTCTAGCCCTTCTGGTAATTTTGTGAGCACTGGATACCCTGTGTTAAATCCTTTCTGTTAAAGTAGCTAGGACAGTTTCTAGTTCTTGTAACAGAGC